TTCGACTCCACGCGTCACTTTCTCGTGCGATCATTTAATATAAACATATTTTACCTTATACACCTGTAACCCTTAAGAATCAGTACCCTCCCCTTAGACAGCCTAGATGATACGCACAAATTAAGAATCGTGTAATTGTTATAACTATGCATGAAATTTATACAAGTCTCAACATTATTATTATTTTTTCTCTCAACCTAATTATTATTAAAGTACAAAAAATCGATATTATTTATGTCAAAATCTCCTCCATGGTCTTTCAGTTTACTGTAGATATCTTACACCTCACCCCAAGATTGTGACTTCTCTTAGCTGTCGTTCTTGGAGTAGGTACAAAATGCAGATAATCTCATAGTTGTGCCCAAACAAGGAACAATCCATGCAATTTGACTTTGTTACCACTCACTGAATGTGAACATATGAGAATTTCCTCATCGAAGAAACTTTCTGCTTTAAAGAAAAGACTCCTCTTAACTAAAGGTGTTTATCGGACGGGCTGAACACAAAAATAGTCAGCCCGTTAGGGTTACGGGCGAGTTGTTAGCGGGCTGGAGTTAACGGGTTGGTGGCGGGCTGGAATTTTTCGGGTCCTATAGGGCCTGTACGGGTTCGGGCCTAGCGGGTTCGGGTGGGTTGGGCTTTCATTTTTTTTAATTATTTTTAACTATCTTATATTTTTCTTTTTCAATGTTATTGATAGTTAAGTACTTAAGTGTTTTCAAACTTTTAAGGGTTAAAATTAAAGATTAGAATTGAACTTTTAAGGGTTAGAATTAAAAGAACAAACTAAAAGTCTAAAATTTGCAAACTAAAAGTCTAAAACATAAAACATATTAACATAAATGCATAAGTCTATATAAAAAATATTGAATAAGAGTATAAGACATTATGCAATATAAAAAATTCACAATATTTAAGTAACTTTGATATTTTTATTGAATAATATATAGTACTTCTAATTAATTTGCAAGTTCTTTTTTGATTTTTTAAATATTTGAACTTGCAAATTAAAAGGTTACAACAATTGTTAAAAAAAAAGAAGTAATAGTAAATCAAATGTTTTGCATCATTTTTGTAAGCTCTTCCATGTCAATGTGAGGTACTTGGTTTCAGGTATTATAATCGGTACCATAAGCCATTATATCTCCAATTTCTTGGCCTTCCTCTTCATCTACCTCGTCGCGCCCTTGATTTCGCCGTTCTGATCTATTACAATCTCTGAAGCACACTAGAACTTCCAAAGCGTTGCTGCCCAATGAATGACGGGTATCTCCTAGCTGCTGTCTTGCTTGGCTAAATGCGCTCTCTGATGCGACTGTTGAAATAGGCACATTTAGAACGTCTCGAGCCATGGCCGAAAGAACAGGAAACTGATTTGCGTTGCTCCTCCACCAACTCAGAGGTAAAAAATCCTTTGTGAGGGGCTCCGATGACTTTTGCAAGTAGAATTGGAGTTCATCAATATTCTGGCTACTGGTTTGTTGATGCTCTCCTAGTGTCGACCAAATCAAATAATCTTGAACATTATCATCATCTTCCAAATTTGTTCCAGATGTTGAAGTATTACTTGAAGGAATATTTGCATCTACAACCGAAGAAGCATCAACAATGTTAGCATAATAATTATACAAAATTTGTAAATGTTTGTGCAGATCAGAAATACAAGTCTCAGTATCAGGAGTTTCAGTTGGTCCAATATCCATATAAGTATATAAAGCACTGATTAATTGGCGACACTTTATCATTTTGATAGTAGGGTTTAAAATAGCACCAATTAGGTAAATAGGGGGAATTGGGAAGAAATATTTTTTAAACTTATCTAGCATGGTTTCAACAACATTAGTATATCCCTCTTTCGCCTTCAACTTATGTAGTAAAAGAGAAATTTCAGCAATGTGAACTAAACCATTTACAATAGTAGGATAATAAGCTCCAGAAAACTCAAGTGTAGCCACATAAAATTTTTGTAAAAATTGTACAACATCATGAATGATATCCCAATTTTTAGATGTTTACGGTTAGGATCGGTACAATGAGAATTAGCAACTTCAGTTATAGAAATTTTATATTTATAACAACATCTTAGGAACAAATAAGTATAATTTCACCTAGTAACTATTTCTTCAGGCATGAGTCTTGGTTTTAGTCCATAGTGTACATATTTTTCCTTAAATGCATCTAATCTAGCACTTCTATTATTTCCTTGAATTACACCAACATCTCTTCTAACTAAAGTGATGTCATTGTGAAATAAGTCAAGGCCACTCTTCACAATCAAGTTATAAATATGACATGCACATCTAATATGAAATATTTCAGGAAGTGGTGGGCGTAGATGCAATTTTAGTAATGTAATAGCAGAAGTGTTGTTAGAAGCATTATCAAATGACATACACAAAACTTTTTCAGAAAGATTATAAAATAAAGCAACTTCATGGATAGTAGCACTTATAAATGCACCGGTATGACTTTGATCTTCATCATATTTAAAAGCAATAATACGTTTTTGCATACAAAAATTATCATCTATCCAATGGCATGTAACAGTTAAATAATCATTTCCATTTATAGCACGACCAATATCAGAAGTAAGAGAAACTTTACAAGAAAGACTAGCGAACAAATAACGTATATATGTCTGATATTGTCCATAAAGCCTAAAGATATCAGATCTACAAGTACTTCTAGGAATACCTTTAAACATAGGGTTATAAATTCTTTGAATATAAGTAACAAGATATGGTGAAGAAGCAAAACTAAAAGGTAAACAACCTAAAACAATCATTTTAGCTAATTCTTCTCGATCTTTTTTAATATCGTATTTACCCATTAACCCCCCAGTGACCGGGTTAAGTTTTTGTTGCCCAGCTTCATCGCCTACTCCCCAATCAATAGGATGAATTTCTTCCATGTGCCTACGAAGTTGACCCGTTCCCCCATTCTTACCGGGCTCGTGTTTATAAACTTCATTACATATTTTACATTTTACATAATTTTTCTCATTTTCTAGTCTATCAAAAAAATTCCAACACTTACTTCTTAATCTTCTATTCTTCTTAATAGGCAAAGGAGGCTTACTTACACTTTCACCGTTAATATTTTGACTAGCATTACCGGGTATAGGTGGTGGTGTTTCAAGATTATCGGGTGATTGAATATCATCTAAAATATCATCTAAATCATCATCAATACCAAAATTTTCTTGAAGTAGCTCATAATCTACATTTACGTTTTCGGGTGAACTTTCAGAAACATGTGTTGCACTACTAGAAGAACCACCTCTTACTCTTTTGGAATTTTTCTTATTACCACCTTTACTAGTGCAAGATTTTTTGGCCGCTCTAAGTAAATCCATTATCTAATTTAAAACAAAAAATTCAAATAATAATTCTAAATAATAAAGAGAAAGGGATGGACGAGTGTACCGGGATTCTGAATGCCGCACTAAATTTGATATAGAAACGAGAAAGTAGAAACTCAAACTTCAAATCTTCAATTGATATTTGATAACTTGATAATTGATGTCACACTTCACTTGAATAATTGAATTAGAAATTTATGATAATAATACTTTTGTAATGAAAGTATGAAACTTGTAAGTTGAAACTTGAAAGCNAAAAGCTTGAAATAACGAGCAATTGAGAATATTATCAAGAGAGAATTGAGAGATAATTGTGAGGAATAATGAAAAAGAAAGGGGGTATTTATAGTTTTTTAAAAGGATTCAATTGCAATTTACAAATTATAAAGGGGGGGCTAAAATATAAATAAAATACCAAATTTTGGCTGTTTTTGACAGATTTGGCCGTTGGCCAACGGTCATTTTTGAAATTTGACCGTTGGCAACGGTCAGATTTAATTTTAAAAAAAAAATAAAATTAGGCGGGTTTGCGGGTTGTCGCGGGCTGAGGCCCGTTAAGAACCCGTTAAGCCCTTAACGGGTTGTGGCGGGTTCGGGTACCCGTTTGGCGAAAACTTAACGTTACTAGCCCGCCCCCCGTCCAACCCGTCCCAACCCGCACACATATGCACAGTAACGGGCTGGACCGGGGTGGCCCGGGTTGAACCGGATCGTTAGCGGGTCAGCCCAGCCCGATTAACACCTTTACTCTTAACTTTAGTTTTACATTTTTTATTTTGAGTTTAACTGATAAGGATAGTCAAATTTAGCATTACGCTACCGGATTCAACTTAAATTAATATTTTTTGGTACAAACATATTACGAGTAGATGCTATCAACATATGCCCTCTATGCTTCTTAATTTATCATAACTATTTTTTATTATTTATTTTTCACCACTTAGTGTCAAAATTTGTTCCTGCTTTTATTGCCAAACTGAAATAGCATATCATCCTAGCTCTACTGAATTGGATATCTCCGGACATCTCCAAGACTCTACCCTCTGCCCCAGCATTCAATGGGACGGTCTAGCGGTGAATTAAGCTGGAACGGATAATGGGAAATGAGGGTCCAAATTTTAGCAGAGATATATAATTTTGGTTGAAAAAATTACGCAAGGAGATAGTATGTACCCGATAAATCTGTCAACGTACGCCCCAAAGTAACTCAAATACTACTGTTATTTTAAAAAATGGATATATTTGAGACTCGGACTGTACAGAAAACGCCCCAAAGTAAAGGTTTCGCTCTTGCTATTTTGCTTTGCACCTATTTAAGTTTTTTTTTATTGAGCGACCGTAGGTGCTAAATTTCACTACAGGAAACACGACTGAACGAAGCAAAACTGAACCAAAACCGTTAAAAGCTAAGCAAAAACTAAGAAAATTGGAATAGAAAGAGTCTCTATTTAGTTTCTTTCTTTGCCATTCTTGACCCACAAAAAAAATTTGAAAATTCATGTAAGCAAACATAGAATTTTGGAAAATTAATTCAAGTTACAACTCCGCTCAGTACCGCAGGGTGAAAGTGTAATCGTTAAACTGCAAGTCTAAATGCCATGCTTAGATCTCTGTATTTTTATCCAAATATTTCAGAAGATAAATGAGTTAGTAAAATAGAATAGCAAATGAATGCCTTTGTGTGAAATTCTAGTTGCAAGTTGCAACCAGAAAATTCATAGCCATAAAGAAAATTATACAACAGATGGAGAAAAATGGGGATATACCTTCAAAGGGTTAATATTAAGAATCATTTGTTATATGTGAATCCAATAAACAAGAGGAAGCAAGAGAAACAAAGCCTGCAAAATTTTGAGAACATTCATCCAGCAGTGTAAACCACCAGCTTATTTTCGGCGATTTTCCAAGAAATCCCTAGTTCTCTTCCTCATGCGTGTGAAGACAACAAAAACACAAGCCAGAAGCCATGGAGGAATACGACCATCAGAGAGATTCAACTTTTTTGCCCACTCTGGAGGGTCTCTTATCACCAGCAATACTATAAGTATGGTTACCACTGCAACCCCGACCAATATCCTGGTAATAGGTTTGATCAACGCGTCCTAAAAATCAAACAAAGGAACCATTACAACTCACTCATATGCATCTATACTTGCACCATGTGAAATAAGCAAATACTTGCACAATTAAGGATCAGCAACTTGCGTGAGAACATCTAATTAAAGCATTTTATGAGATTTAAAAAAACAATATGTGGCTAAGCTCTTGGTATGACAAATACACTATTCGTGATAAAAATAACTGAGCGACCTTTTCTCATTCTTAAATCTCTAGCAGCTAGTAGCACCATTAAGCAGTGGCGAAGTCGTCGAAAATTTGCACTGTGTACATAGGTAAAATATTACGTTTTATAGGTATATAACACATATTGAACACCCTTTGTCGAAAATTCTTTTCACTTCTTTTAAATTTGAACACCCTTGGGAAAATTCCTAGCTTCGCCACTGCCATTAAGGCATGGCCTGCTTTCCTTGGGAAAGAGACTATTGAAAATTTCTAAGTGAAATAACTGAGATAAATGTCATCAGAAGAATCTAACTTTTATCCAATTTTATGTGAGGGGAACCGTAGGAAAATCAGAATACCATCACAATTTGATGTCTTTTTGTCATAAAAATAATTTTCTATCAGACAACAACAACCCAGTGTATTCCCACAAGTGGGGTCTAGGGAGGTAGGATGTAAGCATCCTTACCCCTACCCTGGAAGGATAGAGAGACTTTTCCGATAGACTTTTCTATCGGACTATCACAATTTAATATCTTTGCAGCTACACCAGAAACTGAGAGCATTATCAAGTAACACCATGACAACGTCTTCACAGCTAAGAAGACTTTTTGCAAAGATTCAAGATATATACGTAACACCAGTTCATGTTGCTACTTCATGCTTACAGAAGGGATTAAGTAGTTTCAAAAAGTTTTGGAAGTTCAAATTTGAGAATTAAATGGTGAACTGCATAACTCCAGTAAGTTAACCTTTTCCCTCATTGCCTGGAGATCTTCTCAGTTTCACTTGTGAGTTCTAATGTTAATGCTACTACTAACTTAGAATATGAACGTACTATCACACCATAAGAAAAGCTTTACGGCAAAAAAAGGAATTTGGAAACGACTACAGATATATTTAACAGAGAAAAGGAAATAGACGACACTTAGACCCAACGATTCTTTTTTGACTCCTTAGGAAAGGGGAAAACTAGAGTACAGAAAGTAGCTGGGCATAATTAGAAGTTCTATCATCTATTTCCACATGGTTGGTGGATTGCCTGGAATCTAAAAGGTACAAGCCTATCATACTTATTCTCCTTGGGAATTAGTGGAAGTCCAGACTTCTATTAGATGGTGTTTGAGTTTTCAAAATATAAAGATCTAGCTCTCTGACAATCAAAATAGTAGGCAAAATAATTGAACTCCAACTTTTTCCTATCTCAGTAAAAATTATTCAACTCCATGAAGTAAATAAGCACCTTATGCCAATTAGTTCTTTCAAAATCACGTCCAGACAGCATTCATGTGTCAATCTAAAGTATCATTTTCCCACAAGACTACCCTTTGCCAGTCAGCATAATGATATTCATTTTCCAGAGAAACTGTCAGAATTCATTATATCCATAGATGCACTCACAACATTAATCTCACATTGAGCGAACAAGAGTGCTAGACCATTCAAATTGACAGTTTGTCACAGAGATATTGGTCCAACACCAAAAGAATTTGGAACCAGTAAATAAAGAGCAAATGAAATTGACTTAGGCATAAATTTCTCTCCGACTCTCCAGCAGAAAAAAGACCAGTGCTTTCAGACTAATTGTACACCAAAATTCCAAGCTACCAAAGGCAGAGGCGAATCCAAGATTTATGCTCTACGGGTTCAATCTTTAAGATTTTTAGCATAGAACATCCTATTATACGTGTAAAAGTATGGGTTCATCAGTACTAATTCTTGCAATGTTAGTGAACTTTTACATTATGCTCCTAGTCAAAAGTATTGGGTTCAGATGAACTCGGTACCACCACTTTACATCTGCCTCCGAAGGTTGGAGCATATATTGAAAGAAACTATCTTTATGCTTAGCCATCAATTTTATGAGACTAAACTATAGATTCTTTTTTTTCTTTTTCTGAAAACCGAGAAGTCCCCGAGTGCCACTGGTGCATGGTTCAAATTCAATGGATAATGGACTTGCACCTCTACTCTTCTCCACCTATATATCAGGTTTTTATTTGCGACAGGGTTCAAACCCATGAGAAGTGATGTTGGGCATATTTCTCTATGTTTTAATGTTAGTTCACTCATGTTTTAACCGCTTTTTGATACTATTTAATCTTTAAAATGCTCAATATGTATTAATTATTAGTTTTATGACTAATTAAGTTATGTGATGATTTAGGATGTTTGGAGTGCAAAAATATAAAGAAAAAATGCTCCAACTAGAGGAGAAGAAGGTGGATACATCGCATCCAACCTTGGAAAGAAGGCTAGTTGGTGCACCCTTAGCAGTGAAGTCGGGCCAAGGCATCCGCACCTAGGCACAGCAGAGATAAAGGAACAAAGAGTGAATGCGAAGCATCCACCCTAGCATGCGAAGCTGAAGAAGTGGAAGCTGAGGCAGATGCGAAGCATCAACCCCAGCATCAATCCCTGAAGCTGATTCGGAATAGGAAAAGGAAAACTTTGGCCCACGACTTTTGTACGCAATATATAAGCCAAAAACACCTCTTTTAGGTCATCTAACACACTTTTTGAAGGGGATTCGACCTGGGGAGAGCAAGGAACCGCCGTGAAAGCCTGATTTCATCTTTTTCCGCCAAACTTAGTACTAATTTTTATGTTTCTTTGTATGATTTGTTGTTTGGCTACCATGTCTATGTGGAGTTAAACTTCACGTTCTAAGGTTGTGGTTCTTTCATGACTATTGTTATTCAGATATTGATTTTGCCTTCTTGATTTATCAACAACAACAACCCAGTAGAATCCCACAAGTGGGGTCTGGGGAGGGTAGTGTGTACGCAGACCCTACCCCTACCCCGAAGGGGTAGAGAGACTGTTTCTGAAAGACCCTCGGCTCAAGATAATAAAAAGACAAAAGGAGAGAATACTAGATTCATCACAGAGTTCATAGGAAAAATAGGAACATAAAATGCAAAAGAAAAATGCAAATCAAAAACGATGGCTAGTAAGTGAAACCTGCGTCGAAAATAGAAAATAGTAAGAAACGACATTACCCCTAGCTATCTTAGACAAAACCCTGCCGGACTAGGCTCACAAAGACACAAAGTAACGCAAGACTCAACTACCTCCTAGCCTACAACCGTAATACTCGATCTCCACAATTTCCTATCAGATATCATGTCCTCGGAAACCTAAAGTCTCGCCATATTGGTTTATTTATTCAATCTTGTGCTTAATTATTTAATTGATTGATCACCAATTGAACACTATCTACGAATCTAAAATTAAACTCTAAAATAGGAATTCTAGATTGCATATAGAATTTAGTAGACCAAGTTCTTGAATCTGGACATCGGGGAACAGATTCGTGGTTAGGATAGACATATATGTAATTGTCTTGCTTGGTTGATTTATAGGAACTATAAATGCGTTCTTGTTGATTCTAACTCCATAGACATATAGGCATTAGGTTAGCTTGAATAGCCGAGTAAGAACTCGACAGATTCTTATGAGCAATATTAACCCTGTCAACCAATAAGCTAGATAAATTAGTCGGTCAATTCAATTAAAGAATACAATAGGATTGTTAGATAGCCCATAACCATAGATCGTTTTCATTACATTGATATCATAAAAATCTGCTCTTTCTCTGTTCAAAGTTCATTATTTATATTTCTTTATTTAATTAGTTTAGAATCAAATATTTCTAGGTTTAATTCTTGTTTAGATAATTAAGATACTCTAATTTAGTTAATAATTAATCACAAGTTCTCGTGGGTTCGATATCTGACTTTTAGTCACTTTATTACTTGACTATCGTGTATACTTGCGTGTGCGTTTGGCCGCAACAAGAAGCGCCTAATTCACACATTACAAGTTGCACTGTTACCACTAGACTAAAACTCGTGTTGAGACTAACTATAGATTTACTATAGATTATTTGAACAATGTAAAACAGAATGAACAACTTAGAGCAGCATATAGAACACCGGAATCCAAGCAATAGCTGATTTGCTTTTACCTTTACATTCATCAATCTTCAAGCTAAAGAATAATAAAATCAAGTGCACTACAACAATCAGCTCATGCCTAACCGCTTTACTACTGCTCGCTAGGTTTTTTCGCTAAGCTCATGCTGCTAATTTGGTCACTTTATATTAAAAAAGTAAGCGCTTTACCAACATTATTTTTTAATTGTCACAAAAATTCATGCTTTACAAAATATTCACTTTCTTTATGCTTATATTAAAACTAATATAAGCTGACTTTCAACCATTTTCGTAACAAATTTTTACTCATACAAAGTATATGTCTAATTATGATTTGCAGTAATTTCAAATTTGTAAATTTTCTTTCAAAAGTCTTCAGAAATTATTATCCCACTTCACACTGACAATTAAATAATAATCCCGGTACTCCGAGTCTGCCATTAGTTTTACGACAAGAAGGTCCATGCTTTACTAAAATACTCACAGATTTAACCCAAAAAAGGAAAAACTATAGCTATTCAATTGCATGAACTGTTAGAGCAAAAAAAAAAAAAAAAAAAAAAAAAAAAGGTATCCAAAAATATTTAAAGTATAAAAATTGTAAGTAGTACTTTTGTGTATTGTAAATTTAATTTTGAAAGAACTAAGACACGTTGTCTTCCGGAAACAGCCTGACTTCTGGTAGGGTAAGTTGTGCCTGCATACTAACCTCCAGACCCCATTTCTTGTGGAATTATACTGGGCATATTGTTGTTATTGTAAAGAACTAAGACACGATGTAGCCATGATTAAATATTAATCCTGGTAATAAAACTGTGAAGTGGTAAAAGAATGAAATTACCTTAGGCTCTCCATCGACGTAAATTTTGGATCCATCATGATAAGTGAGAATGGATCGGCCATTACGGGGGTTAAATCGGATCGGAACGCCCCGACCCGACTCAGGCTTGAATGCATAAACTGATTTGAACCCATATTTGTCGAGAATTTCTCTAACATCGAGCTGGTCCTGGTCCCACCCACCTAGGCATGACTTGAATACATCGACGGGGCCCTTGCCACGTCGGTATAGGTGGACCTCCACCTCTGGGACTTTGGTCCGTACGGACCTAGTCCTGTTTGTCGGGTTCGGGTTTGAATTTGTTAACAGCGGAGATGCCTCGTCGGCGGAAGCTTCTACGATCTCCACCATTTTTATGGCGTATTGATGTGGCTAGCGAAGGCAAAGAAAAAGGAAAAGCGAAGGGGAGGTCGTTCAATATATGAAAGTTTGAGTTTTTTTAAAAGCTTTGGGGGTCTGACGACGTGGCAATTTATTTTTCTATTTTGCTTTTGTAGTATATTCTCTTTGGAATAAACTTATCATACACCAAATCATATAGTGAAAGGAGTATTATTTTTTCGAACTTGCGAGCATTTTTAAGATCGTGCTATTGTTAATGGTTAGAGATAAGGGTGGCACACGGTCCGGGTTAGGTCCTAAACGGGCCTTGCGGGCTGGGCTTAAACGGTCTGGTTCTAAGTCGGCCCGAGTTTCGTGGGCTGGGCTTAAACAGATCCGAGCTTCGTGGGCTTTTGGGTGTAACCAGACCAGGACCGGGACCGTGAACTAATGATCTCGGTCTATGTGGGTCGGGCCCGGTCCTAAACGGGCCTAAGCGGGCCTTGACTATTTTTTTTTTAAAAAAAAATTATCTAAGGCAATTTCTTGTAAGTTATATAGCTTATATATATTATATATACTATATCTATATCTATAAATATATATACACTTTAGACATTGCTTAAATGTGTGTGTGTGTATGTATGTGTATATATATATGAGCCTAAGTGGGCCTTTTTATTTGTGGGGCTATTTATTTGTTTAAATTTTTTATCTAAGGCATTTTCTTGTAAATTATATTATATAATTGTGACTTAAAAAAATTTAATTCAAATTTAAAACACAAAATATTGTAAAAAGATATTCAAAGGAATGCGTTATAATTTTTATTATTATAACATTAAGAAAATATGGCCCAATCTTTCTTAGCTTTCACCCCCTCCCCCCAATGGAATGAACACAACCAAGGTGCAAATACCACCATTGAGAAGAAGAAAAAACTAACCAAGATGTGCCAAAATACAAGTTACATATTAATTTTACATGGTATCTCTTACAAATTTCATAAATCCATCAAGGTTAAGAGGAATTTCCGTTGGTGGTGGCAGAAAAGAAGCTTGTTCATCACCGCTTCCGAGCGAAGCTGTTGTACTGTATTTCCTGTAGTGCTTTGACGTGGAATTATCTGTTTTTTTTACTACTCAGCTTTCATTTACTTTTATTACTTACTGAGTTGGCGTACTCACATTACTTTCTGCACCTTGTGTGCAGATCTAGGAGTTGCGGGTCACGATAGTGAGCACTGATCGTTCATTTAGTAGGTCTTGGAGTCGACAAGGTAGCTGCATGGCATTCGCAGCCCTGTTCTTCTCCCGCATATTTTCCCTAGACTTTATTAGTATTGTCTTCCAGACTTTGTTAGACTTTATTGTACTTAGGCAGAGTTGTAGTTGCTCGTGACTTGTGGCACCCCGATGTCGGGCTTGTGTTATTTCCTTCTGCACTGGTTATTTAGACTTATATTATGAGATTCTCTTAATTTAATAGCTTAAAATGACTTTTTATCGAAATAACATGACCAACACGGTCTGAGAGTATCCAAAACAAATAAGCTAAAGGAAGATAAGGAAGGAAAAGGCGGAACTGCGGTCGCCATGCAGCTACCTCGCAATCTCCAAGGAAGAGTCCACAACAATATGATCAGCTTCTGCTACTGTAGCCCGAGATACCAGGATCTGCACACAAGGTGCAGAGAGTAACGTGAGTACACCAACTCAGTAAGTAACAAGTCTAAACTATGGACTAACATGTAGTGACGAACCAAACCTCAATAGGTAATCAAATAATTGTACGGAAAAGTAGACATGCTTGCAGTTCAAATAAAAGCTCAATAGTAATATTTATAATATGACCAGTACGGAATATAAATTTCAGTAAAACTCTAAGTACCAATGCACAGATAGCATGATCAATGTTACGTATACCTCCACTCACAAGTGCTCAACTACTCGATACTGTATATGGCCATCCGGCCCAATGAAGATCCATCCCGGAATATATACATCACTGACTGTAGTCATCCACTACCGAGGAAGGCCGTTCCAACCCTATGGAGAAGATCCATCTCCAGATATCAATACTTCGGACAAGATCCATATCCAGGGAAGATCCATCCCTCAATATCATCATATGCACTCACTATAGGTGTAAAGACTCCAGAGGGGCTTCTCTGAGCCCAAGCACTACAACAAGCCAACGAAGGCATGTTCAATATCTCGCTGCGGTGTGCAGCCCGATCCCATACTGTCAGTTAATATCAGGCTCTCGGCCACACTCAGTCACTACTCTCCAGTCTGACATACAAGGATCAAAATGTCATGGTACCAGCCCAAATAATGATATGATATGTCAAATAGTAATAATTATGATTAAGGCATGATATAATATGCATGAACAGGACTGAGTACAGAATATCAATAAAGCTGATGATATGACAACAAGAAACGACCTCTCGGGTCTCAACAGTATTGACGTGAAGCCTTAACATTATAATTAGCATGATTTCCAGCTCATTAACTTAATAACATAAGTACAACATAGATATTAGCAAGAAAGAGTCACTAAACGGTACTCTGGTATGATCCAGGCCGCATTTCTCACGGTGCATGCCCACATGCCCGTCACTTGGCATTTGCATCACCTCAATAGTAATCGTAGAACACATAGTTTGGAGTTTCGAACACTCAGAACCAAGTTTGGAAGCGTTACTTACCTCAAGCCAAGCCAAACTCTAGCCCACGATGTCCTTTCCTCTCGATTCGGCCTCCAAGTGCCCTGAATCTAACCAAAATCAGAACCATAACATTAATATATGATAAGGGAACAAAGCCCACGCGAATATAATAAAATTACATCACAAATCCCAAAATTAGTCAAACCCGATCCCCAGGCCCACGTCTCAGATTCCGATAAAATTTACAAAACTAGAATCCTTACACTCTCACGAGTTCATACGTACCAAACACACCAAAATTCGACCACAAACGACCCCTCAAATTCCTAAATCAAAGTCTCCAATTCCAAGCCCTAATCTCCCAACTTTTCTCCTTAATTTTACACTAATACCATGATTAGACAATGGAAAAATGGTCATAAACATAAATAACAAGGCTTAAGAAGCTTACCCAACTGAAACCCTTTGATTTCCTTGAAAATTCACAGCCATAGCTCTCTTGCCGTCTTAAAAATGGAGAAACTTAGCAAAAATTCGCGAAGGCATTTATTTATATGTTCTGCGTAGCGATACCACATCTGCGGTCAATTACTCGCGCCTATGAACCCGCACCTGCGGTCCCAGGTGCGCACCTGCGGTCCCAGGTGCGCACCTGTGGAAACCACTTATCCGCCCAAACTCACACATGTGCTCCAATAACTACACCTGCGGTCGCGCAGATGCTTTCCTTCCTCCACATCTGCGATTTCTGCCCTTCACCACCTTGGCTGCATATGCGGCCCTTTACATGCTTATGCGGGCCCGCACCTGCGGTCTCCAATCCGCAAGTGCGATTATGACAAAAACTCAGCAGCTGAAGCTGCTCCAACTAATTTCAAAACTTCCCAAAAATCATCCGAAATCATCCCGAGACCTCAACAAAAAGTACGAAGAAGTCATATGATACTATTCAAACTTGTACCAATCTTCGGAATGCTAAAATCAACACCGAAACACCAAATTACCCTCAGATTCAAGACTTAGAGTTCCAAAACTTCCGAATTCTGCAAACATTCAAAAAGACTATCAAACCTCATCCAAATGACCGAACATTTTGCACACATGTCACAAATGACACCACGGTCCTACTCCAATTTTCATAATTCCATTCCAACCCCGATCTAAAAATTTCCACAACCAACCGGAAAGCGCCAAAATTCAAATTTCACCAATTCAAGCCTAAATCTACCACGGACCCCCAAATTACATTCTGATCACGGTCCTATGTCCCAAATTACCTTACGAAGCTATCCGACCCATCGAAATTCACATCCGAGCCCTTTTTCACATAAGTCAACGTCTGGTTGACTTTTTTAACTTAAACTTACTCAAAAAAGACTAAGTGTCTCAAACATCTCTAAAACCACTCTGAACCCAAACCAACTAACCCGCAGCTGAACGAGACATAAAAAAGTAGAAATAAGGGAAATGAAGCGGTAACATGAAACGGCTAGCCGGGTCGTTACACATGTGGCCTTTGAGAGCTTTTATCTAATAATATTTGCTAAAGGATTTCGTTATCTACTTCTCCTTAATCCATTGATCATCATGTATTTCATACCGATTTATGATCCTCTGCATTTTAATTATTGGACCACTAGTAAGTATCGATATTGGCCCCTCATCACTACTTCTCCAATGTTAAGCTAAATACTTACTGGGTACGCATTAATTAACATACTCATGCTACACTTCCGCACTACATGTGCAGGATCTGACAAATTCATTTGATGGTCATCTTGGTGCATAGGCGCAACTATCGAGGAGACTTTATGGTGACCTGCATTTCATGCTACGTGTCGCAGCCCACAGAGTCTCTATCTTATTTAGTTACTTTATCTTGTCTATTTTATGTCCCAAATAGATGTTGTATTAATATTATGGCATTCTTTAGTAGATGCTCATGCACTTGTGACACCAGATTTTCGGATACTCCACTGGTTGTTTATGGTTCATCTTGATATTGTCATATTTTATTTTACTTCTTACTAGTATTTTAAGTATTTATGATTTTTAAATGCATTGAATTCTTTACTTAATAAAAATTATGATGTCAAAAATAATAAAATAAATAATTGAAGTGATAGTTCACCATTGTCTTGCCTAACGACAACGTTGGGCGCCATCACAACCTATAGTGGGAATTGGGTCGTGACAATAATCCAACTATTCCAAGAACATCGGTCATAGCGGTGTATTTTTTATTAAGTATAGTGATGACCGAGTATAGCACATCAATAATGTCACAAAAAGCCCGTCAAAATTTAGTCAAGTTATAATAAGCTAAATCATGGTTTCTACCTTCTAGCTTCATATTCATATTAATATAGAAGTCAAGTAAAACATGAAGCAAGAAGGTCACATATCCCAACAATTAATCTAC